TAGCCGAGTCTGCCTGTTTAGTCATAAAAGAATAGACCCAAGCACGCTTTTAACACGAGCAAGCTAATTCTTGCGACATATGATTAATTGATGTTCACTTGCCTGCATGAAAGCAATTGCAATGGGCTTAAGCATGCAGCCTTTGCACTGGATGTTCTTGACGATCTCGACGTTGGAGATACAGTTGGGTTTGCCTGTTGACTTATTTAAAAACATAAACACGTACGTTTCGCACCTGTGAATTTGTCACACGCGAAGCGCTGCGCTGTACTCAATACATGATGTTTCTTGATCACCGTCACAGAAGCAAAATCATAAGCCTTCATCGTCGAGCTGCTAGACGAGGTCGAGGCCTGTCAATAATTTCGCACGTAATGAAACTGATGATCTACTGATGAATATATGCAATGCGCAAGGCCTTACTGTCTTGTCTTGTACTGCAGAAAGCCTGACAATTTTTTGAATGTGCCATAATGACTTGAAGTCACTGCGCTTGCTAAATGACGCCTCTAGCATGCCCGGAATCTCCAAGATCACATCTTGAAGTGTCTTTGTTCTTGGACTCGGCACATCTCCGCCGTGTACCACCAAGTCTCTGCGCAAAGCTTTTTTCATCCAAGGCCTACGAAGATTGCCGTGAGAAAACACCACATGAGTTTACGAGCATGCACGCCAATATGTTCTGGTTTCTTAGGCTCGGACTCGAGACCAGAGCCCTTAGAATCCTCAGCAATGTCTAGGATGTCCACAGAAGATCCGGCCTGACGTATCAGAGTGCCTTAAAAGAAAATACGAACTACACCACTGAATAGCGCCTGCAAGCGGTAGATTTTGTACGCTTGCTTGGGATTCAAGTAGACGACTCTCGTAGATGGACATCTCCACCAGGTAGCCTGACGTAATCTCAGCATGCAGTGTTATCAACTAGAGTAACTAGAGATAATACGCAAAGTGCCTCCATGGTTGAGAGATGTGCTCGCTCCCATAAATGTCGCTGCTTGGTGAAGTTGATTTCGCAGCCATTCTCGTCAACGCGAATAGCTACGAAGTGATTGTCAGCCAAAAGGATGTATTCGCCGAAAGATGATAGGCTCTTTGTAGGCACCGGTGTCAGGTGCTTCCTCAGTTTGCTTGCTCGTGCAGTTATAGCGAATGAACACATTGCATTACAAGTTCTGCTGAGTGTCTCGAATGAAAGCAGCATTTCGTTGCCATTCCTGAGTGCCCAGAAAGGTCCGTCGCAGCTGTAAGGGACCTTTACGCCGTGTGATCGGAAGGCGTCGATGAGGCAAACTTCAGCGAACTTCTCCTGACCTGTGCATGAAGCATTGCTTACTTGATGAGCTGACTATAAGCATTTGTAATTATTCAAAAGTTACGAGTCCAAATGCAAGCCGTTAAGGCGCTATGTGTTTTCTGACTTCTTGCGCTTTACTTCCTCTGCAGCATTATCTGCTTTGTATACCATAGTGTCAACATTCTGAATTGCTTTATTTAATGCTCGCAGTGACCTGGCTGTTTGGCCCAGAAGTGTGTGCAGAACGAAATAAGAGATGTGTCGTTGTTGGCTGCGCTCCAGAATGGGCCGTCGCGGCTGTACGTCACCTTGAAGCCGGTGCATTGGACAATTTCGAGCAGGTCACGATGACCTCACGATATCATACATTGATCTCGACAAACTTGCGTGCTTTCAGTGACATGTTGTCTTGCCACAGTCTCGGCAGAAGAACACGCACTCGTACCTTTGACTGCTATATTATTTTTCTGAGCATGGAATATATCCAAGATGCTGGTGGAGCCTGAGGGCTTGCGTGTGCTTCGCTCGCGGCAAATTGATCGAAAGTTTCGACCTCAGAGAAACATGAGCGCAAACTATTCGGAATTAACTGTGCCAAAACTTATAAGTACACGTGCGCCTCTCCGACCGAAGCCTCTGTACCAAGCAGGTCTGGTGATCGACTTCCAGCAAATTGAATCCTTCTGTAACAACAATTCGCTCGAACATAAGGCAGCCGTCACTCAGTTACGTCCTGCGTAGTCGCGTGGCGACGTGTACTGCAAAGTCGACTAAATATGTTCTTCGCGATCACATCGCCGACGTTGTCAATGCACTTCTTCATGCAGAAGCCAGCGGCGATCCCTTGTGAAACATATGCAGAATACGCAGCATGTTCTAGAGTTGATCCATTACGTCTAGAGGCAGGCGGGCTCGGTCGACTTCAGGAGAGACATGTCGGCCTGAATGAACGGCATGTCGCTGAACCTTTTCGGCAGACTCACAAACAATGTAGCACCGCGCATCTTCAGGAGTTAGCATTTGTAATCTGAAACTGAAGCACGGACGCCAGCGAGGCTGCGAACCTGCTGAAGGGAGTGATGCAGGCATAAGTATAGCAATGCTTCGGTTTGCATTCTAACTGCATCGCAACTCAGCGGTGAACTCCATTTGGATGAGCTTGTCAACGTGCGTAGACGTTGCAACAGCGTCAGCCGAAGAAGAACACAAGGGTTCAATAATCATCTTCCTAGTTCAGAAAGTGCAGATCTTTTGAAGAGGCGCATGTCAAATGACTTTCTTACATGAATAGATAGTGAGTTCCGCACTCATTTTTCGCAGGCGCAATGGAGTCGCTGGATGGCCTCACTTCTCAAGAAATTGCTTCAAAGCTTAGATTGGCATCTTACCACTTGATCAAGTGCAGTTATTCCGGAAGAAATGCACGCAGAATGATTTGCTTGCATAAATAAATAATGAGTTCCACACTCATTTGTCGCAAGCGTAGGGGGGAAGTCACTCGATAGCCTTATTTTTTTTCAAGACGATGTGTCAGAAAGCTATGTACTTCGTCACATTCTCGTCAAGTGTCGCAAGGTTGTTGGCCATGTGCTTGGTCCTGGTAAGTTGCACGTGCAGCAGCACATCTAATCAATAACAAAATCGTTTTAGTCCTTGTCCAGCGGCCGTCGGGATTCAGATGCCCTACATGAGAAAGATCGCACGCAGATGCCATTGTGTTTGAAACTGAGACGCAGACACTTCGTGTGGTGTTTCTTCGCGCGTGAAGCTTGAGGAACATCAATGGAAGGCCTAAGTAAATCTCACATGTTAACTCATGAGCTATTCATGCGCGACAAGCACATAAGTCCGGCGCTCTAGGCACTGAGACGACTCAGTTGCCTCAAGCCTTAATAGTACAAAGTCTGACAGGCTACGCGTATCAATATTTCGAAATAAGTTATAATTGCTCAGTTAAGCGTCAGACTGCTTCAAAAACTCTGCCGGCGTCACGATGGTGGAAGACGTCCTGACAGCACATGTTTCTTAAAATCAAAATATATCTAAGCAAGCGTGCTGAGTTCCATACAAGTCTGTCCGCCAGCGAGGAATCCGCACTGCAGGATGGCCTCGTTAGTCAGTCATACATGCACTGATGATGATTGTAGCGTTTGACGCCAGGGAACCTTTCCGAAGATTTGACTTCGGCCGTCAGATCGGCCTCGGCCCTTAGCAAATTCTTAGTGTTGGGTGAGTATACAGATACTTTAAATGTGGCCGTCAGGCACGAACCGCTCGCTGATGAATCTCATAAAAGCTTAGGCTTGTGCTCCTCTTCGTTCAACCATTGCATCTTGGACCAGCGCATAGTCAGGACCTGAAAGTCTTCAAGGCTTGATGAGAATGTGTATTGTGTTTTGCGTCAGCAAGTCAGTTTTTCATCTGCTGAGGTAAGCGCGGCCTGAAATATGCGAGGTAGAGAGGGTAATTGCTGTTTGCTCAAAAGCCGAAACTCTGCGAAGAGAATGCGTTTAACTGATTGCAATGCCATTTTGTGTTGTCACGACGGCATGCTTTGAATCATAGGCTCAAGTAATACAATATCTTGACGATCCGCGCAAACGTCATGAATGATGCGGTCTGAGTACTACGCCACTAAATAATTCAACAATGAATAATTGATAAGCGACGCATGAAACCTCGCCAAAAAACTCTGCGGGCGTCATGAAGATGGAGGACGTCCTGAAGTGTGCGTGTCTAAAAAGTACATCTAAGCGAGCGTGCTGAGCTCACTCTAAATCTCTATCTCACTGAGGAAACCGAGCTGCAAGATGGCATTGTTTGGTAGTTCTATATGCATTGATTATGACTGGCGCACTTTGTGCTCGGGAACTCTTCGAGGATGTTCTTTCTGTTCTGAGATTGGTGTTAACCATGAAAAAAATCAACGTTAGATGAGCTTGTTTATTCTGAATAATTGTCATCACAGACTCAAGTCATATAACATAATGACCTAACGAACGATGCCTAGCTACGTGTTATAGAGACAATGTGTGATTAAAGAAGTATTGTAACCTTGGCTTGTCGCAGGAACACGCAACGTCACAGAACTACATGTCGTGTGCTTTGAAACGCGATTGAACAGTTATCGCAGTAGTGCGTTTGCTTAGTTGCTTATAAGTTCGTGTTGCAAGTAAAACTTGCACACGCTATCAAAAAGCGCGGAGATGAATAATCGCATTAATAGGATTATTCTATACATTGACGAAATGTTAATAAAGATAAAGGCATGCAGTCTTAAGTTTAAACGACAACAATTCAGCTTGTTGTACATTATTCTTGATCGCTACGTGTGATAGCTTAGAGTGTAAGGTGGTGAGGTGGGAACCCGGCATGGGATTGAGCTGGAATTTTAATAGGGTGTAAGGCAATATAAGGTGGATGGCCTGTGCCGAGACATTTATTTCGTGATCTAGGAAGTGCTTTGGTTCCATTTGATCAGATGAATGACAACCGCATTATTTTAGGGTTCTTATGAGGTTACTCATAATTCAAAGCCGAAGACTCCTTGTGCAGATCAGAATGTTCTCAGTCTGTCCTCGCAACGCACGTAGCACGACATGCTTTACAAGGTTACAAAAACGCATGTTGCGCTAGGCCGCTGCTACGCGAATCCTCAATAGCATAACGAATTCTGACTTTTGGCACCTCAGACAACTGGAGCTCAAGCGGCCGCTTTCTTAGCTGGCACTTTGCGAATTCTCCATTCGCAGTCTGTGTTGTGCTTGCTGCCTGCACGCTCCATGCCACGTAGCAACTGGTCGCAAGCAAAACAAAATCGTGGGTCTTCCCTTGGGAAGCCAGGGTAGAACTCTCCAGCCTCGTTAGCCTTGCGGTTCTGGCTGGGCGCCTTGGGCGCTGCAGGTCCGGCATTCTTGGCTGCAGGTGAAACCAAGCCTTTCCTTTTAGGAGGTGGCGGTGGTGATACGGGCCCTTTTCCCTTAGGGATGGACGACGGTGCTGCAAGCCCTTTTCCCTTAGGGACGGGCGCTGGTGCTTTTGATTTTGCCTTATCCTTAGGAGAAGGCGTGTCTTTGTCCAGGCTGTGTTCGGACTCAGACATAGAACCAGACGAGGATGACGAGGTTAACGAAGAAACCGAGGATACTTCCGAAAGCTCGCCTTCGTAGCCTGCGTCCCGCAGCTTTTGGTTGGCAGAGCTGACTTTCTTCCGAGACTTCTTGATGTTCCTCGCTCTTGTTTTCCAGATGGCTTTTAGTTCAGCCTTTTGGGCTCGCGTGTGAGCCATGGCCCTCAGACGTCGCTGCACCAGCACGTCTATGTTTGCCTTCACCATGCTGCACAACTGGAGAACTCGTATCCTGCCCGTAAACTTTGAGTAAAAGCTGCGACATGTAGTTTCCTTACACAAATCTCTTGAGTTCGCTTCTTGTCTTGCATTTACTTTTGCCGACACAAATCATGTAGGTGACACGCACAAGCTTTGATGTCCTGGAGGTCGTAGTTCTCGTACTTGCTGGTGTCGTCCGAGGAAACATGTCAATGAAGATCACATTAACCTTCGCAAGGATAAGTTATCAATCATCTCTCACTGTAAACTTTAACTCGGCAGCGGCTTCGTCCGCTCGCAGTCATAGCAAAGTCCAGAAACGGTTTTCGGACGCGGCTTCGCCCGCTCGCAGTCATAGCAAATGCCAAGGAATGTTTTCGCAGTCATAGCAAATTCTAGAGATTGTTTTCTGTAACGGCTTCGCCCGCTCGCAGTCATAGCAAATTACAGGGACTCTACAAAATGAAAACAAAAACAAAAAAGTAAGCAATGAAAAAAAACAATAATGGCCCTAGCCTGTTTTCGTTTAGTGTTTCTTGTTTTTTCTTATTGGTGTGTGTGTGTGCCTAAACCCCTGGCTGTCGCGGCCCGCGCCCGGGCCCACCTGCTACGGACCTCTGTACCCAGAGACTCCAAAAGTCTTTAAATTTAAGAAAGACCCTTAATTAAAAAAAAACCCGCTGAAATCAGCCCTTAAACAAAGGATATTAGCTTAATTAAAGGTTAAAGTGTAAAACCAAACCTTAATTAGAAGGTTTTTCGCCTTAATTAAGAGTTGTGCGGTTCGAAGAAGCGCTTTTGCCTTAATTAGAGGTTTTTTTGGTGCGTTCTTAATTAAAGGTTTTTGGTGTGGTACATGCAAGATGATGTCTCGTGACAGAGGCTAATAAAGCACGGTCTGAAGCCTTTTTTTGACTGAGCTGGCTCGCAAAAGTGGTGGTTTTGGATTGCTTGCTGCAAACTTCTGCAACATTGCCCTTGAAACTCCGAGCATGCTGAACTCCCCGCCCCTGCGAACAGCATGCTTCGACAATGTGTGCCCAAACGATTCGTCCCGGTACGACCACGTTCTTCGTGGGTTCGCAGGCGAGGCAGCAATTTCAAGAAAGGCATGAAGCTTTGGCTTGGCCCGGAAAAGCTTCTGCTCCGGCAGCGAGGTTAGCTTGACGAAGAGAACTGCAAACCTGCGAGCTCGGGCTTCCAGAGCCTCTCTTTTCCAGACACTGTCATGAAGACAGTCGTAGCAGCTTTCCAGAACCCTCGCAGCACGTCGCATGGTCACCTCCATGTCGGAGTCGGTGACACAGTACTTCTCCACGAGCTCCCTGCAAAAAGGAACCAAGGCTCTGGTCTCCCCTGCCTTGGCACGAAGCTTGGGCCAGCTTCTTTTCTTAGCCTTCTTGTCTTTTTGTAGCATGCCGGGAGTGAGGGTGTTCAGTCGATCTTCCGCTTCTACCCGCTTGTAGAAGGTCTGCATCTGCTTGAACAGTTCATTGCACTGCCCGTTGAAGCTGGCTCCTGGCATGTAGGTCTCGGCCACATGCTTGAAGCAGGCTCCGAGGAAGTCCTGACTTATCCCCAGATCCACTGCATGCAACCAATCCCACTTGCAGCACGTGCTCTTGAAGCCCGGCGACGAGAAGAGAACACTAGGTTCATGGCCTTCGTCTCGCTGCCTCTGAAGAAACTGCTCTGGGGTCAGTCGCTGCTACCTGCAGGCATGAGCAAGACACAGAGAAACAAACACATGGACACTTTGAAGGAGACCCTCCTCACAATAGGAGGACCTCCTGAACATGAGGCGAAGTGAAATTTTCAAAACACCGTCCTCCATGCTGCATCCGACCCAACATCGTGCAAGGTTGCTAAAGTACATGAACATAGAAAACATATGGGGCCCTTTCCTTGCCATCCAGGGAATCGCAGCACGTCTTTGAACATGGACCAGTCCCCTCTGACTTCCGACAGAGCACAATGCATGCCGATCGCACTTCCGGCTAATCGTTTCCTTGCAGCATCGTCCTGTGTGAAAGGCTTGTTGTCATGTCTCTGCTGTGGGAAGCGACCGAAGAGCAAGCACCGCATGCTCCACACTATGGGCTTCAAGACCGAATCCCATGTCTTTCCTTTCGCAAGGAAAAACTTGGGGAAGCAAGTGACTGGTAAACGTACGTCCTGATACTCTTTCGGGAGGCTTGGGAAGTTCATGCTGATGCATTCCAGACTCTGCGACCTGTCGTGGTTGAATGGGACGCCATCCATCCAAAGGCCCAGAGCCACCACATCCCTGAGACCAAATTGGGTCTCGAAACCCCTCAAGTGCTCTAACAAGTCCTGTCTGCTTGGCAGAGTCTCTTCTTGCAGCGCCACTATGTCCGAGGACTCGCTGACTTGCAGCATGGCATGCACCATCTCGTGGGGCAAGTAATATGCCAACCTCATGGTCTTCTCTGTTCCAGACTTTACATCCCATCCCAGGACTTCTGTTTCGTAAGGCTTTGGCCAGAGGCTACTCTTGAGGGCCTTTCGCAAAAGGTCGCGGTGGGAGTTTTTGCATCCCTCCGGCTTCGCCAGATCCTGCACATGTGCAGAGCCTGCAAGGGCTGCATGGTGGAAGAGTCTCTGAGCTCTCATGCCGGAGACGTCCCCACTCACAAAGAGGTCCAGTGCATCCACTCTGAAACGTCGCTTGTTCGGGACATTGTCCAAGTCAGCCACAGGTCTTTTCTTATCCATGGCCGTAGCATCTGAAGCCAAAATGGCTGGCAGGATTCGCATGGAATGCTGCATAGAACGAACGAAGTAAGGAGGGCCCTCCTCGACAGGAGGGCCTGCCTGTGTGCTATCTGCAAAACATGCATGCAGGCTCCGATTTTTTAACTCCACTGCACGGAAGGTTGCAGCTCCAAAGCTCTGTACGATGTAGCAAGCATGCGATTGCATCTTGCTGGTTGTTGGACGACCATTCCCTGCAGGGGAACGTTGCAAAATGTCGCCTCTGGCCGATGCTAGAAAAACTAGATGCCGGCGACCCCTTTCCACTGCTTCAGAAAGCCTGCGACCACGTTCTGGTGCTGTTCGCACTCGGTGATCAAGTCACCTGTGGTCTTCACCAGCTTCTCGAGGTCCACACTGCTGTCCGCCGGATCCACACGGTTCATGGTAGCCGTGCTTTGTCTCAGCTTTGTGCTGAATTCCTCCAGGGTCTGCATCTTCTTGTCGATGTCCTGGCAGATCTGGGAGTACATCTCCGGGGACAGACTGAGCAGAATACTGGAGATATCGAGGCCTTCCTGGTGCAGCTTGTTGAGCTTCGGCTTGTACTGCTTAAGCAGCAGGACGTTCTTGTTGAAGGCACCCTTCATGTCCACCTCAATGCTGGAAGTGGCACCACTGCCGAAGGCATCCATCAACGAGCCCAATTCACCATCCATGGTTCCCGTCTGACTGTGCCGAGTCGTGTCGGTGGCAGAGTCTCTCTCTGTGCTCTCCTTCTGCATCTTGTAGAAGTAGCGATGCAGGAGTTTGTTCTTGTGCGGCTGCTCTTGCCTGGTGTGCTTGAACCTTTCCTCGGACTCTCTCAGGAGGTCCTGCAAGGTGTCGGCTGCCACCTGCTCTGAAAGGTTGCTTTCGTTCAGGCCATTGAGCTCCAGGATTTTGGACCTCTGCGACCAAATCTGTGAAGGCACCAACCCACACCCAACAAAAAGAAATATTACTGCAGCCAAGCCACCGGGTCATGAAGCCTTTCAGAAACTCATTCGCTTCCTCGTGTTGAACCTCCGTGTTCTTCGTCAGCTCGTTGGCCCAGTCCAAGCAGTGCATGCCACTCTGCACAAGCTTCTCCAAGATCTTGCTCTTGCCACTCACGTCTGCTGCCTTGTAGTCGCTGAGGATCTTCGCTGCTGCTGCTCTGTGCTCGGGGGTGGCTTTCTTGGCCTTGCACTGGTAGGACAGCGAGGTCAGCAGTCCCGACAGCTGGCCTCTCTCCATGCCGATCTTGCCCACTGCTTCTGTTGGCTCGGTCTTCACTGCTTGCGACTTGGGTGTGGGCGCCTTGGCCGTCCTCTTGGCAGCGGCCTTGGGCTCCCTCTTCACTGCTTTTGCAGCAAACTTGCCCGAGGAGGTCGCAGGCTTAGCCGTCTTAACCATTGCAAGCAAGCGAGTTCTTCTAAAGTGGAGCACGAGGGAACCGGTACCTTTGAGCACTCTGGGCACTGATGGGCATTGTCGGCCAGAGTATGTCTGGGCTTTGAAGGAGTGGCCTCCTTGTGTCGCAGGAGGCCACTCCTACACCTGATGCTGCATCCCGTACTGAGGAAAAAAAAAGAAAGATAGAGAAAGAGCACCAGACACAGAGAGAGAAAGTTTGTATACATGTTTCCACGTACATATCTATACAGTTGTACACGTACATATATATATATACATATATATGTACATATATATATATATATACAGATATAGAGATATGTATGCATACACATGTATATTTCTGTGTATGTCGATTTTGGGTTATTTATCGATTTATGTATTTATTTATATATATATATATATGCTATCTGCAAATATATAGATATGTATATATATATATATATACATCAATATATATATATATGTATTTAAGTATACACATATGATATATATATATATATGTATACATAAACACACCGGGGGGGGGGGGTTGTGTAGGGTGTCGGGTTTAGGGTCCTAGGGTGCTGAACCTTAAACCCCAGACCCTAAAGCTTAAACCTTAGAGCTTAAACACCAGACCCCTAAACCTTAAACCTTAAACCCTAAACCCTAAATCTGAAACCCCTAACCCTAAACCCTAAACCTTAAACCTTAAACCCGACACCCTAAACTCCAAACCCTGAACCCTAAATCCTAAGCCCTGCACTCTGAACCCTAAACCCTGACCCTAAACCCGAAACCCTAGACCCTAAGCACTAAGTCTCGGGTTCCTGTTGCCGGGTTTAGGCCTTAGGGGCTAGGGTTTAGGGTTCGGGGTTAAGGGTTTAGGCCTTCAGGGTTTGGGGTTTTATGCTTAGGCTTTAGGGCCCAGGGTTTGGGTTGAAGGGTTTGGGCTCAGGGTTTCGGGTTTAGGGGTTAGTGCTTAGGGTCTAGATTCGGGTTTAGGGTCAGGGTTTAGGGTTCAGAGTTTAGGGCTTAGGATTTAGGGTTCAGGGTTTGGAGTTTAGGGTGTCGGGTTTAAGGTTTAAGGTTTAGGGTTTTTTAGGGTTAGGGGTTTAAGATTTAGGGTTTAGGGTTTAAGGTTTAAGGTTTAGGGGTCTGGCGTTTAAGCTTTAAGGTTTAAGGTTTAGGGTCTGGGGTTTAAGGTTCAGGGTTTGGGTTGAAGGGTTTGGGCTCAGGGTTTCGGGTTTAGGGGCCCAAACCCTGAGGCCTCAAGCCTTAACCCTAAACCCTAAACCCTAGACCCTAGGGTCTACCCTAAAGACTAAACCCTAAACCACAAGGCCCATACTCGAAAGCCTGAAGAGTGCCACTGTCGACGAAACCCGTTCAAAAAACGTTAAAATTTTTAACTTTTTTTAACATAATTTTTAACAGCCTTTTCCTTTAGTTTGCCTTCTAAATCCATGTTAAAAATTGTTAAAAAAACGTTAAAAATTTTAACGTTTTTTGAACAGGTTCCCTCGCCAGTGGCACTCGAACGAACTCCAGACACACTATTCTTTTTGCGCGCTCCACCTCGGATCTGCATGCTGCCTGAGCGAAGCTCCGGAAGATGATGCTGCTAAGCCTGGATCACACGTGAACTGTCACGAACTGACACAAGCTGCAGAAGTCTTGACACAATCTTTGTACTTGCTTGGCTTGCATGACAAGCAGCTCTCAGCTGGTGCACCGACGAGGCTCAATCTGTCTTCTGCTTCCTCCAAAAACAAGACACGGACAAACCCTAAACCCTAAACCCTAAACCCTAAACCCTAAACCCTAAACCCTAAACCCGAAACCCGAAACCCTAACCCTAACCCCTAAACCCTAAACCCTAAACCCTAACCCCTAAACCCTCAACCCTAAACCCTAAACCCTAAGTTTATGCAATGCACTGCAGAGCATGGCTTCCACTGTAGTCCTGGGATCATGGGCATCGGCTTGGTCACCACGGCCTGCCAAAACCAAAAAAAAGGAGTGCTCCTCCTCAATAGGAGAAGCCCTCCTGCAACTGAATTTAAAAGCATAAGTAGTGCAGCTGGGCCTGCTGCCTCCTCGGGAGCTGGTGGACCACTGGCCTGACCAAGAGGCTGCATGGATAACAAACCCGAAACAAAATCATCCCCTTCACAATAACAAATTGCCTCGGGACCCTCATCATCCACGGCAACCGGCTGGCTGTCCCCAAGCCCTGCCGGGGAGTGGCTTGCTTGTTTGGCAGCACACAAGCAACAGGACCTCAACTATTGCTGGCCAAGGAGCATTCCCAGGCTGGCTTCGTCTTGGCAATCTTACTGGGGGGACCGGTCTCCTCATGAGCAGACAAGGGCAAAGGGCAAAAGCTTCGAACGAACTAAGAAGGAGGCCCTCCTCGACAGGAGAGCCTCCTGTGCGAACACTTCTGCATGTATCCTCGTCCGGCTCGCCATCCACTTTGGTCCAGCTCTGATAGCTCCGCATGGAGGCTGGCGACCCGTCCCTCCTCTTCTCTGCTGCTTCGCAGCTCCTGCCCCTCTTCTCTGGAGGTGCCTCGTGTGAGAGAGCACACAAAGCACATGCATGTCTCTATGCAGACACAACAGTGTAGCCACACAGTGCAGCCCAGTAGCCGGTGGAGGGTTCTTCGGGATAACCAGGGGCCTGGCCTTGGGCTTCGGGTGCTGCTGGGCCTTGGCTTCGCGGGAACAAAGAAAACACAAGCAACACAGGAAACTCTGAAAGTCTTTCTGCCGGAAAGGCACCGCTTCGGCTTGCTCTTGGACCTCTTGGCCTGGATCTTCTTCCTCTTCATCACTCGGTGGCTGAAACTCCGGCTCACCGGCATCCTTCCACCCCTTGACCTTGGCCCACCACACCTTTCGCTGCTTGCCCCTGTTCTTCTTCTTCTTCGCCAAGGTGGGCTCAATGTAGTTGGCAAACTCCTTCAGGTCCCACCGGCCTCCACTGCCCTTGCTGTAGGGATCCCAGAGGTTCTCTCGGTTGGCCGAGTAGATGTAGAGCTCACCTTAGCGAGGAGACCCTCCTATACAGGAGACCCTCCTATACAGGAGAACCTCCTAAAAACTGCAAGGCTCAACTTGAAGGAGACCCTCCTAGAGTGAAGGAGAGCCTCCTGAAATCTGGATGCTGACATGTTGCACTTTGTGTTTAGGCAGCCACCCTCCCGCACATAGGACCAGTTGTGCTTGCATTTCTTGCACTTTCTCACATCGATGCCGGACATGTCATTGGGGTCCTCGTCCCACGGGTCGTCGTCCTTCTTCCACCACTGGGAGCCTTCACCCTTCTTGTCGTGGCCACGATCCTTCCAGCTGGAGCCCCACCCCTCAGCGACAGGACTGCAGAGAACCCTGGGCAACAATCTGAGCACACAAAATGCAGCCAAAACTAATGCAGCCAAGCGACACCAGAACCAGAACCTGACTGATGATGCCAAGACATCCCTGCTTGTGGCAGACAGAGGTCTGGGGCTGCACTGAAGGCTTTAGCTTGGGCCGAGAAGCTGGCTGGCAGACAAGTCTCACCTGCACTGCACCTCACAGCATCTCCTCCTACTC